AATTATTATAACTTTAATTTGCGTACTGATCATGGTTTTAGCCCCATACTTAAAAGGTTGGACTCCTGAATTCAGCTGTTAAAAATCCAGTTCTTTTTCACCAATTTAGTAATTTAGGCTATCCCTTATCAAAAAGTGCACTAATTTCATACTTAAAATCAGGCAGTGCACTTAGAGTTTACTTATTCTGAACTATATTTCATATACTTAACAATAGTATAAACAAGTGTACTTGACTATATTATTGTTTACTTTATTGTTTACTAAAGTATACTTTAGGTATACTTTGGTAAACTTAAAAATATCCCAATTTAGTTCGAAGAAGTACTACTTTAGTAATCATAAAAGTACACTAAAAGTACATTATTTGGTATACTTTCTAAACTTATACTTAAGTATTCTTAATAGAAATTACTTCAAGTATACTATGTTGCTAAGAGCCATACCCTTAGCTTTATTGCTAAGGGTATGGCTCTTAGCATCGGTATTAATCACCAAATAAATCAATGTGTGATAAATCGTTCACTGTGTAAAATGAACACAAAAGTGGTTAAAATACAATGGTACCTTTATTAGCTACTAATCAAACAGTATTATATCTAATAGCTAAGCAAAACCAAACACTACAGAAAATAAACAAAATTAAAGAAATAAAAAGGGAAGAGTGATGTTCGTAGTTTAAGGCTTAATCCATTTGAAAGTGTCGCTTAATAGCAGCAGATGAAATGTGAATAAATCATGATGCAGATACCTTAACTGCAGTCACAACAGTGAAGTTTAATTTGATTTATGGTGAAGAATGAATAATGTCTCAGGATTGCATTAAACTATGATGAGGCTGAAAGACCCTTAGTTTAGCTGGCCCCAGGGGTTGTGGTTCCGGTCGGGGTGCAATTGAAACAAAGACAGGGTTAGCTCATGATGCAGCAGTTAGCTTCAGCAACACTAGAGTCGTTCAGTCTATGTAGTGAGCATTAGCATTCTGTTAAAATCTTAAAACCATCAGCAGTTGAATCAGAAAGCTTATTTCAAATAAAAACACCAACACGGCTATCTATTCTACCTAGTTCACCCAAGCAGAGCACTTTATTAAACATCAGATTGAAAGGAGGGCAAGGAGGAGGTGACTGTTTTTGGTTCGGTGGAGTGAAGGTCTTCGGCTCGGTTTCGGTGTCCTGCAGGCCCGTCCTCAGTCCAGTCCATTTGTCCAACAGCAACTTTGGATCAATTTTCAAGGGGGTTCATTTTATAACTCACGGTACCATGGGACGTCTCCCATTTTAGCTACGATAGTTGCATTGTAGCCGTAGCTTCTAACAGCACTTCTTCGTTGCTGCTCCGTTTGTCCGTCTCAGGCAGTGTTAGGTTTATTCAATGATGATTATAAAATTAATGTGTGCTTATGAAACATTTGTGCAAGGGGATGCTCCACTCCTGTGTCATGATTCAGTCTGGAGACCATCCTGCCTTGTCATTCTGATGGAGCATTCTGTCTTCATGAACTGATCAATTGTTCTGTCAGAACAATACTCTGTTTGTAGCCATGTGTCATGTTCTGTTAATAAACGCTCTGCAGAGGAGGTCCATTGGGAGACAGTATGTTTGAGTCTGGGGTTCAACTGTCTCTCCTTTCTGCAGAAATTGTATCCATAATTGTGTATTTTAGTTCTTCTTTTGCAAAAACCTACATTTTATGAACCCGACAGGCAGTCACGGTCCGGCAGCTTCTAACGACTCCTTCAGCGAACAGCGATCTTGGCCCTGAGGTTTTTGCAGAGATGGATTAGCTCTTCTCTGTCTCTGCTGCAGAAGGATTCAGTAAGTGCGACAGAAAGCTGGTGGGGGTGTGTAAACAAACAACCTGCCGGTAAAACGGCAAATACGTCCTTTTTAAAAATGAATGAGCGTACAGCCTCTTCCTGCTCATGTTGCAAAGAAAACCCCAAGTCTAATCCTTCCAAAACTGATTCCAAAGCTGAGTCAAATGAGAACTGTTGAATAGTTGTTGCCATCTTCCTTGTTGTGCTTTCTCCTGCGTTGCGCTGCTTTGTCATCACACCCTCAAAACCCAGCCGCTTTACATCCAGAAATTCAAAACACATCTCTGCGTTGTGATTGGCCCGCCATTTCTAGGGCCTGGGGCATTGATCGAGGCGAGACCACTCGCAGGCAAAAATGATTTTGGTTGCTGGTGGGTGGGGCTGGTTTACTAGGCTACAAACAAGAAATAAAATGTAATTATGTTTGTTGTTTTTTTTTTAATCCCTCCCAAATGATAAAGAAGTTAAACAAGGAAACATTAGTTTCTAAAACATGCAAGTAAATAGCACAGAATTCACTCTGCATGACCAAAGATATCTGAAATAGTAAAGAGTTGTTAGCTTTGTAAATGTATCTGTTGATTTTATACACTTCTTCAATAGCTGTGCACAGTCCAAACGAAAATCTGAGTTTGTACAAAAGCGTCTCAACTATTGTTGTTACTCTAACATCCTCTGCTTCTTGTCCACATTCTTTCATCAGATGATGAATGGCGGGAATAAGCTGTGGTGTTTTTAGTCGACGCTTTATGGTAATAAAGTGAGTCTGACAGAATTCTTCATCTAATTCTTCAAGGCAATGATGCCGGAGGTAGCTTTTGTGGTCTGTTTGACATCTGTAACAAGTCTGTCGATTGAAATCCAAAGCGATGTTATTAAGCAAATGAAGCATAGTTGTTTTCACTGTAGCAACGAGTGAGGAAGAGATTTCAACCTCCTCCTTTATAAATGGCAAAGTCTGTGTCAGATGCAGAATGACAGTGGATTGGTCATCTTTAGACGAACCAGGTGAAGTCCCAACTGCCCTCTCTTTATCAGGCTAGGGAATAGCAGGAAGCAAATTATTTTCCTTCAGGGTATTTTTCTTCCATAGTTTCACTTGGAAAAGGCATCGGTGAAGGAGGGTAGGGTAAAGAATATAAAGTTGGAGAAGGTGGATGATATGGAAGTAGGATGGAGGATTTAGGAGAGTATAAATCTCTGTACGATTCCATCCTATCTAATGTAGGTTTGTCCTTTCTTGAGGAGATGTGTGATGTTATTCCTCCTCACGCCAAATATATAGGGTTGAGGGTGGCTCTAAAAGAGGTTTGGGTGTCCCCAAAACACAGAGTTTTTTTCACTGTCAGAATATAAAGCCAGCAATGAGAACTCCGGAAGAGGTAGGAAATTTGATCACCAATTTCGTTCATTTTTTGGCACCATACATTAAATGATATCGCCAACATGTTGCTAAAGATCCCGCTTACTGTATTGAAAGGTTCCAAAACAAACAGGTCAGGGGAAAGATCATCGTAGCTACTTCGCCTACTTGCTCGGAGAGACCTACACCCAGTTGCGGTAGATTTTGTTTGCCATATCGCACTACTGCGCTCATAAGGCCATAAATCACCCTTTAGACATAAGGTTTCTGTCCTACCTCTCTCATATCTATTGAGAGCAACATCAGGCTGCTATGGCATATGCGTTCCTTACTTGCCAGGCATTTACACTGTACAACCAGCTGGCCTCATCCTGTCCTAAAAAAGCTGCCACCATCAAACTCACATTATATCTAAATGTGACCTTTCCTTTAGGTGCTTTACATTACTTTTTTATCTCAATGAAAAAAGTTCATAAGTTGCAAAATCATCACGACAGTATTAGAAAGGGAGCTTTTGTCTCTGTGTTGCAAGAAGAGACCATTGAAAAACTGCCATGGTATCACCTCAAAACTCATTTGACCTTGCAGCTTACACAGCGGTAGGTGGCAACTACTTACATTTACTTGAGTAACTTGTAGTGGAAAAATTAGCATTTATGATAGCTTTACTGTACCATAATTTTACTTTTACTCTTTACTCCTACTTGAATAAACTGTTTACCTACTTTGCCTACTGTGAGTAACTTGAGCTAGTTGGAGATCTGGTAAACATTGTTAGAATTTCTTTACACTCCCCTAACATCAATACATCGATCATTGTAAGGATCAGTTTTATGTGAGTGCTAAAGGTGTTTATGCATGAATTTCTTAGCCTGTAATTATGTTTTTTACATTTTAGTTAAGTCTTTAGGAAAAACAGAAATGGCACATTATTTTTTTACTGAATACATTGGGTCTATACATTAAATCAAATATTATAACCTAACAATTACTTGGTACCTGAGTAGTTACTTTTGTAGTTTTTACTTGAGTAAAAGAGAGCTGTTGCTCTTACTTGAGTACAGTTTTTGGGTTATTAACCCACCTCTCATCAGCAGCTTTGATCACCAAACTTTAATGGCATGAACCAACACTGTTTGGACATGATGTCTCTCTGTGATATAAAGGTATGTGTGCGACTACTACAAAAGTGATACATGCTGTCTGCACCAATAAATGTCATGCTACATGCTTGAAACTCGTCTTTTGTCCTATTCTCAGATTAAAGGAAACTCATTAAATATTTTTCAAGCACCAGGGGAATCGTATAGCTTTTTGTGTTGTTTTTTGTTTAACACAGTAAACATCAAAAGCAACCTACCCCATCTTGCAGGTGCAGAACACTGTGATCTCCACAACCCTCCTTCCAGTACACACAGTCATTATTAACAAAGTAAGTGCGTCATAATTTAAAATGTGGCAGGACGTGGTGTTCTGCTAAATCCCCTTCCTCGTGTCCCATCTTGACACCACATGGCATGTTGTTTCAAAATGTAAACATACAAGGCAAGACAGGAAACATTTTTTTAAACAGTGGCTAATGTGAATTCAACTGAGATCAGTGTTTTAAAAGAGAAAAGTAAAAACATACAACCAACTCTGAAAACTATGAAATAGTATTAACCAGTAGGTAACTGGTTCATATTTTTTATAATTGTGTATTAAAACTCTGCTGTTAATTATTATCTTTTAGTTATCTTCACATTTACTGATGTACAAACAAAACAACAATGATACTGAGCGTCATTTCTAAGTTTATTACAACCTGGTGACAATCATCTGCATGCATAACCCTTCATAAAATGTCTCTGCATAACTCCAACATTATTTCCCCAATAAATTTGATTTCCTTTGGCCCCGAGACATTCCCTTCTTCTAATCCTGGGCTTTCTGCTAGTGATAGCATATTTCGGAGACTTCCATAGCCAGTTCCAAGCAGTCACTTGCATCTTGGCAGGTCCCGAAGAAACCACAATCCAACTCAACACAAGAGTCATCATCATCACTGTGTGAAGACTCGACAGTAGGGTCCACATGTTTATAGCTCGGCCAGCAGTGATTGGTGAGTCTCTGGCAACAGTCAGGAAGGATGGGGATCATTTCGTGGAATCGGCAGAAGAGACAGTTCAGGACAATGTCAGCACAGTCAACTGAGGGATGCAAACAGAAAAAACAGTTCATCAAATTATTTGTCCAGCCAGAAGAGCATTTTAAAAAAATATTAATTTATTATATTTGATACATTTCTTTTCTACTGGTAGTCATTTACTCAGTCTTTCATTCTAAAATGTGATGGTATTTTTTTCTAACTCTACTGTACCTAGTGATCCACACCACTGACATCTGGATCACAATAAGGAACTGAATTTTCCCTGTTCACATTTGTGTTGTCTGAAAAATGACAGCATATCAACTATCTAGTCCGGGCCGTCCCTGAGAACAAAAGGCAGAACAAAGGTTAAGGAAAGGCAGCGAAAGGGCGGCTACATAGTTTTAAAGTGGGATCAAGCGGCAATGTCAAAAATGGAAGACACTTGCAGGTTGAAGCAGCTCTTCAACCAGTCAAAGATCTGGTGAGCTCGGTAGGAGATAGTCATGCATCCAAGCCATAAACAATGAACAAGAATATACTGTATACACCCACCGGCCACTTTATTAGGTACCCCATGCTAGTAACGGGTTGGAGCCCCTTTTGCCTTCAGAACTGCCTCAATTTTTCGTGGCATAGATTCAACAAGGTGCTGGAAGCATTCCTCAGGGAGTTTGGTCCATATTGACATGATGGCATCACACAGTTGCCGCAGATT